CGGGAGAGAAGGAGGGAGGCGAGAGTCTCAGCCTCCACCCTGTGGCCTCCGCGGAGATTGGGGGAGGATGGTCACTGTCCTCTGTCTGCTGAGGTTGCCTTCTGCCAGGTGCAGAGGGGGGGACCACCAATCCCCCCATCTTACAGCCTCACCCCCCACTTTGCGCAGTTTGTGGATTAACTTGCCGGGGGGGATTCATTCGTGGCCCTAAGTTGAGGAAAAGGAAAAAAAAAAGGAGCAAGGAGAAGATCTCCAGGGTCTGTCCCCCATTCCAGGATACAAAGGCAGTGTCCCTACAGCATTTCCTCCAGGACTAGGCCTGGCACTGAATGTGTTCAGGGGCCCTGCTACTTTACAGGATCCGAAATCCAAACCTCTTGTCAATTCTAAACCCATTTTTTGGTAGAAGCTGGTTATTAGGGAAGAGTGAGAGCCCTCGGGACAAGCTAGGGGCAGAGACACAAGGTAGTAAACCTGTTCCTAGAGCACTGGAAGGGAAGGGGTCAAGAGGGAGCTCCCTAGGGCACAGAGGAAACTGAAGCCAGCTCAGCCAGTCCTGGGCATCAGCCATGGCCAACTGCCATTAGTGCTGTGTTTTCCAGAGTACTGAAATCCCACTAGAGTTCTCTCTTCCAGTTCACTCATTCGGTAAGTATCATGATACCTGCTAGTGTCATGCAGGATCCTGGGGATATGATGGAGTCCCCTCAGACAGCCAGACTATAAACTATCTTGAGCTTGTTTAAACAAAGACTTGCAGTTGAATACCTACTGACCATCAACTCTGTATGATGGGGATTGAAAACATACACGGATAAGAGGATGTGGACCCAGGGCAGTGAGGAGCCAGAGGAAGGAAGAATTAATTGTGTTGGTTGCTGCATAATAGGGCAACCAGAGAGTATTAGAAAGGCATCAGAGAAGTAGAGCTGAACTTTGAAGTATAAGGAAGAAATGGGCTGGGTGGAAAAGGGTGAACTAAGAAGGGAAAGGTAAGGCAGGATCTTGTAGGCCAAAGGAAGAGTATGGGAGAATGGTAGTGTATTCTGAGGTCTCTGAGCAGTTTGGTGTGGTGGGAGGCAGAGAGGCATGATGCAAGACTGGAGGAGTGCCCAGGGCAAGGGGTCAAGCAGGGCCTGGAAGGCCCTGTAGAGATTTAGCCAGAGTTTAGGGATGGCATTCAGAGCTGTGACAAATCAGATCTAGACTTTTAGAGTTGGCGTTAGATTCATGAAAAAGTTGTGGCCAACATCCAGATCAGAATGGCCAGAATCAAGTGAAAGTGGAAATGAAGAATTGTCAGAATGTAGTGACCAGTGAGATGGAGCAAGGAAGAAGAGTACGATAGTATGCCCCTAGCCTCGTGGCTGGAGGGACTGAAGAGAGTAATCTTTTGCTGTTTGGATGTGTAGAATTTGAGGAGCCTAGGGTTCATTGCAGGATGGATAGCAGTTAAATCTGGGCTGGACTAGATCAGAGGGTAACCAATATGTGGTAGTTCTTGAAGCAAAGTAGAAAAGGGAATCATCTGGGGAAAAGTGATAGAATGAGAAGACAGCCTGCCTCCGAGGGCTGAGGTGAACCCTATGCAAAAGACTGAGAACAAATGGTCAGAAGAGAAGAGGAAAATCTTGAGGGAAAGTGTTCCAGGACTAAGGGAAAGGGACTATTTTGCAGCCCGGCTGCCATGATTTGGGGTACCTTGTGCTGTCCGGTTGTGATGCATTCTTCTGTTTTCCCTTCACAGACCAGATGTTCACCATCCAACCAGGGCTAGCAGAAGGAGCCCAGTTCCTGGGGGGCCTGCCTCCTGCAGTATGTCAGCCCGAACTCCAACCAGACAGCAATTCCAACTTCATGGAGAGTGCCAAGGATGCCAATGAGAATTGGCATGAGATGCAAAGCAAAGTGGAGCCTATCCTGATGAGGAGCTCCTCTGAGTCACCCTCTGACAACCAGGCCTTTCAGACCACTAGACTCCTTGATGAGGTGGTCCGCAGTCCCCCAGAGGGTGCAGAGATTACTGGTGCTGAGCCTGAGAAGTTGGGTGGTGTCAGCAATGTCTGCTCCCCTCTGGAGGACATTGGCTATGCCAGCAGCTCCCTGAGCATTGACAGCCTTAGCAGCAGTCCAGAGCCCACCTGTGGGACCCCTGGAGACCCTAGTCCTCCAGATCCCTTTCTTCCCTCTGTGGCCCAAGCTGTGCAGCAACTGCAGGCTCAGGAGCGCTACAAAGAGCAGGAGAAGGAGAAGCACCACGTGCACTTGGTGATGTACCGTCGCCTGGCACTGCTGCAGTGGATCCGGGCCCTGCAGCATCAGTTGGTTGACCAGCAGGCCCGGCTGCAGGAGAGTTTCGACACTATACTAGACAACAGAAAGGAGCTTATTCGCTGTCTCCAGCAGAGGGCAGCACCATCCAGGCCCCAGGACCAGGGTTAACTGCCTCCACAAGTGTGCAAAAGTCTTAAGTGTGTATCTGCAGACAAATGTGTGATTGTGCACAAGTAAGTGCATGATTGCCTGTTGGCATGAGTGCATGTAAGTATAAGTGTACGTGTGTGATGTTGACTCAGGCAGGAATATTCATGTGTGTGTGAATGAGCTTTGTGTGCACATGTACAAACAGACTATCAGTGTGTGAGAATGAATGTGTATATGTAGCATGTATGTAAGAGTCAGTAACTGTGTATATTCATGTATAGCTATGTACCTAGAATTGTGTTTATTAGATTCACAAGGGAGATTATACATGCAGAATGTGTGTGTACTTAGGTGGGAGTTTGATTATTCTGGCTTATGTCAGGCATACATGAGTGAATCTTTGTGTGTTCAGTTATTTATGAAAGGGTGTGTATGTGTGTGTGTGTGTGTGTGTGTGTGTGTGTATAGGAAGTGTTTGTTGAAAGCATGTGTATTTATGACAGTCTCATACGCAGGTATGTGCCAGTATACATTCATTACACCTGGAGGGCATCTACCCATACTCTGTGTCACCCAAATCTACCCCAGCCATTTTTCTCCACTGGGTCCCATTGCTTCCTAGCAAGAGAATACTAGCCTACTGTCATTTATCTGAGGGTTGTGGCTGATACATTCTTCTGGCACTTCCCACACTACCTTTCCTTCTCTTTTCCCCTCACTTAATCCAGACTTTGCTCTGCTAAGACTGTGTCCCTCTTGTTGTTTTGTCTGTAAGAGGTTCTTTTTTTTTTTTTTTCAGTGCTGATGATCTCCAAGTCTTTGTGAAGGCCAGGCAAGTCCTTTAACTGATGAGCTACATCATCAGTTATAGGCTGGCTGCTCTAGCCTGCCTTCACATTTTGTCTAGTTTTGTCTGGATAGTTGAGAATTGGTATCAGGGAGGGAACTGGGAATTGTGACATGGGGACAGAGAAGGATGTGGAAGACTATCCTCTTGAATGCTGCCTTTCGCCATGGGAAGGTGATGGTGCAATCCTGTAAGGAATAGGAAAATGGAGTTCCCAAACAAACCACACCTTTCCACTGGGAAAAGATGTTGAAGTCCATATTGATTTGAGTTTCTGAGAGATGGTGTTCTCAGGCTGTGTTAGGAAAAGCCACATTTCCTAGGTTCCTCCCTGACTTTACAACGTTGAGTATCCAGTTGTTTTGGTTCATTTCTATGAAACAGAGCTCAGCTCTCTAGTTGAATGGGGCAGGCAGGGCAGTCCAACCTGTAGGAGCTTCTAGAGTTCTGAGTCATACCCCTTTCCATTACTACATGACCCTTTATACAGGGAGTGGCAGATTAGCAGAGGCTCTATGAGTTGGAGAGTGGTCAAGTCTTAGGGAGAACCAAGATTTGGATGACAAGAGCATGTAAGGTCCTGATGGTGAGCACTGAATGCTTGCAGCCAAACAGTGGCCTGGGAACCAGTAATGCTGCCTCTGGCCCTCAGAACCTCTACCTAAAACATATGGGCATCTTTCTACCTCTAATTCTACCCCGTTGTATGGACTGGTGTATGGACAGGGAGAGAGGGTGAAGCATGGACCCTGGGGAATATCTGTCTGTAGATCCTGCATGTTGAATGTGAACCTGGCTTCTGGACCAACCTAGGACAAATAAACACATGCAGAGAATTAAAGTTCTTGAGTGTTTCTTTGCTATCTGTGACCTGGTGACTTCTTCTACCCCCATCTGAATTCCTCTTTTGAGCATAGTCTTGGGAAGTTGGGGGAGACACTGGGGAAATCAGACCCCTATTACTTGGAGGTTAAGACTGGCTCAAGGATAGTCAGGGCAGAAAAGTTCATGAGACTCCTTTTTAACCCATAGCTGGGTGGCATACACTTGACATCTTAAACTATGTGGGAGGCTGAGACTGGAAGAATTATGGTTCCAGACCATCCCAGATAGAAAATTCCACAAGATTCCATCTTTTAAAAAAGTACAACTTAAAAGACAATAAAAATTTAATTTGTCCTATGAAGGTTAGAATGTGTTTGTGACTTTAAGTATTGCTATCCCACAATACTGTGAAATTGTGAAATTTATGTAATCACAATCAATAAAAAATTACTATTAAAATTAATTTAGGGGGCTGGCAAGGTGGCTCAGTGGTAGAGTGCTTGCTTGCCTTGCATGCATGAGGCCCTGGGTTTGATTCCTCAGCACCACATAAGCAGAAAAAGCCAGAAGTGGCACTGTGGCTCAAGTGGTAGGGCGCTAGCCTTGAGATGAAGAGCTGAGGGACAGTGCCCAGGCCCAGGGTTCAGACCCCACAACTGAAAAAAAAAAAATCTCTGTCTCCACAAAGGGAAGCTGGATGTGGTGGCATGCACCTGTTATCCCAGTATGACAGAAAGTCTAAAGTAGGTGAATTATAGTTCAGATAAAGGTCCAGGTGGGAAGTAAGAGCCTATGTAAAGCCAGGTGCTACTTCCTCATACCTATATCCTAGTTACTTAGGAGGCTGAGATCTGAGGATGGAGGTTTGAAGCCAGCCCAGGCAGAAAAGTCCCCGTGAGATTCTAATCTCCAATTAACCATTTGAAACTAGGAAGTAGAGCTGTGGCTCAAGAGGTTGAGCACTAGTCTTGAGCACAGAGGCTCATGGACAATGCCCTGACTCCAAATTCAAGCTCCACAATCTACAAAAAAAAATAAAAATAAAAGTAAATCTATTAAAAACTAGTGAGGAGCCGGGTGCCAGTGGCTCATGCCTATAATTCTAGCTACTAAGGAGGCTGAGATCTGAGGATCACACTTCAAAGCCAGCCCAGCAGGAAAGTCCATGAGACTCTTATCTCCAATAAACCACTAGAAAACTGGAAGTGGCACTGTAGTTCAAGCAGTAGAGCGCTCGCCTTGAGCTGAAGAGTGTAGGGACATTGCCCAAGCTCAGAGTTCAAGCCCCACGACCGGCCAAAAACAAAAACTAGTGAGGGGGCTAGGAGTTTGGCTTAGTGGTAGAATGCTTGCCTAGCATGCATAAAGCCCTGGGTTCAATTCCTCGGTGCCACATAAACAGAAAAAACTGGAAGTGATTCTGTGGCTCAAGAGGTAGAGTGCTAGCCTTGAGCAAAAGAAGCTCAGGGACAGTGCCCTGAGTTCAAGCCCCAGGACTGGCAAAAAATAGTGAAAAACGGGGCTGGAGGCATGGCTCAAGTGATTAATGTCCTACTATCAAGTGTGTAGCTGTAAGTTCAAATGCCAATACTTAAAAAAATCTGAAGTCTGAGTATGTAGCTCCACAGTGGATTCTTGCTTAGCATGCTACAGGCCTTGGGTGTGTGTGGGGGGGGGGGGGGAAGAAGGTTCTCTCAGCTGAGAAAAAGATGAAAGCCAAAACTAGGAAACTATGGTTGATTGTATTACTGGAATTCTGTTATCATTTGGGGTCTAGAGAGAGGTCTAGGCCCAAAGGTGGATTTGGAAAGGAGACTAGCCAGAGAGAGACAGCTAGTACAGTAGAGTTTGGGGCAGAAAAAAATGAGATAGAACCTCAATGGTTGTTCCCCATCAAGTATGTTGGCTACTGATGGTAGGAAGAACTGGGGCAATTGCTGTTCAGTTTCTACTTGTGGCAGTAGTAAGACTGAGCTAAAGGACCTGAAGATGCTCTGTATGCATTAAGATTGAAGCCTCTTTCCTCGTCCTTGTGTAACCCTTGTGTGCACAGGTAGATGAGACTTGGGTCCAGAAGCCTAATACATAAGTTACTCCAAGCTGAGTAGAACAGAAGTCAGGGCTGTGCAGGTCAGCCTGAGACTTCTGCGTTTGGGAGATTGTGCTGAAATCACCAGGGTGAGGATTTCTTAGTCCCCAGAATAGTGCAGGGAATAGGGAAGGTCAATGAACTTGAGAGGGATTTGGCCAGTCAGCCATCTCTACTCTCTACCCCTTCAGGCAGGAAGTCTAACCCAGGCTCTGGGTGTTAATGGACAGTGTTGCTTAGGTGGAGTGAGGGATGAAGTTGGGGCCAAGATCCAGAGACCAGATTAGGAAACAACTGAGATCTAAGCAGGCCACAGGCACAGGGCTGAAGCATGGAAGCAACTGGCAAGGGGGTAGTGCAAGGCTGAGACCACTAGCAAAGAGGTGGCTGGGTTAGTTGAGATCTTTCTCTTCAGAGACTCCAAATAGGTCAACCCCATCACATATGGCCACAGGGGATGAGTTTAAAACCTGGGGTGTAAGGAAGCTGGAAATGAACAAGGAACTGAGGAATGGTGCAGAGTTGTGTGTGGGGGTGGTGGAAAGGCTTCCAAATATAATAGGTGGGAAGCCCAGGCCCAGGCACTACACTTCAGGACTCCAGTGTAAGTTCTATCTAAGGTGTGTGAATGCCTCCTTGGTGGTAGCTCTGTGGTTCTCTGTCATTCCAGCCTCACTCAAATCCCAGTGTTAGTGCCTCCTATTCATGGCAGGAACAGGTGACAGGAACAAGAGAGAGGCAAGATCTGTGAGGGCTTGCTGGAGGAAGAAGAGCACAGGAAGAAGTTGTATTCTGGCTTACTGCAGACTGGACCCAGATGTCTCCACTTAGTACCTGTGCCTCAACTGTAAAACAGGGGCAACAGCAGTAGGTCATATGTGTATGGATGAACACATGAAGAAGACTGAGTCAGGAGCCTAGCCCTTGGAGGCAGTCTGTAAATGCTGTTATTATCTGACTAGGAGGAGACAGGAAGGCTGTCAGAGGTAGGAGATACAGTTTGTATTGTACCTTTGCTGGGTGGAACTTTGTAACTTTGCTGGGTGGGGATGGGATAGGTGGGAGGGAGAATTATAGAAGAGGCGACACTGATCAAGATGAATTGTACATAAATGGTCATGTTAAATTGAAACTGCTTTGTACAGCTTTTTTAAGAGAAGAAGATAAAGGAGAAGAGGAGGAGGAAGAGAAAGAGGGAAAACAAGGAGAGAGGAACCAGAGAGAAAATGGGAGGGGGAGGAGGAGGAGGAGGAGGAGGAGGAGGAGGAGGAGAAGAAGAAGAAGAAGAAGAAGAAGAAGAAGAAGAAGAAGGAGGAGGAGGAGGAGGAGGAGGAGGAGGAGGAGGAGGAAGAGGAAGAGGAAGAAGCCTGGCACGGGTGGCTATGTTTGTAATCCTAGCTACTCAAGAGGCTGAGATCTGAGGATGAGAGTTCTAAACCAGCCCAGGCAAACAAATCCAAGACTCTTATCTCTAATGAACCAGCATGGGAAATGGAGATTTGGCTCTAGAGGTAGAGTTCGACCATTGAGCAGAAAAGGCAAGATTGTGAGACCCTGTGTTGATGAATAATAATAGTGGAAGCATTGCTGAAGAGCCTTAAATCCCAGTGCTATGAGTTTAATAGCTACTAGTGGCTGAGATGGCAGAAGCTGGGGACGTCCTGGGATCTGAGCCAGACCTCCAATCAGAGCTGGTATGCATGCTCACATCCACCGGTCACCTCCAGACGCACTGTGCACACACACTCCTTACACACTCCTCCTGCCCACATCCCCAAATGCACGCGTGCACGCCAGCCCTCGGCGCGTGCCCCTCCCCCAGCACGGCCCTCTCCTCCGCGCAGACCCTCCCCTCGGCCCAGAACCCGAGGATCGCCACATCTTTCTCTTTTGGTTTATCATCCGTGGATCTGAGGAGTTGAGCGTGGATTTGGTTGAACGACTGGTTGGGGGGGGGGGAAGCACCGGAGAAAGTGGGGGGCGGTTATGGGACTCATGTGTCACTTGGCAGGGCCTGGGGAGGGGCCGGGACCCCCTGATTGGGGATGAGGGAGGGCTCGGCGGTGAGAAAGGTCCCAGGGGCTTAGGCATGTTGGGGGGCGGGCGGGGCTGGCTGGGGGGTGTTCAGCTGGTGTTCCGTCGTCCCCCGAAACGCGCAGACAAAGGGGCGGCCTCCTCCGAGCCCGCGGCGCCTGGAGGGGCGCACACAAAGCGGGGAGCGGCGGCGGGCGGCGCGGAGCTGCCACCCTCCCCCCCCCCCCGAGCACCCCGCACCCGACGGTTGATCCGCAGCCTCCGGAGCGCGTTCCTGGCGGCGCCTAATCCCAACAAGCATGAAAACGGCGCGGGCCGGCCCGCCCGCAGGCCCTTTGTCCCGGCCCCGGGTGGGACAGCTGCAGCCGGGGTCCCCTCCCCGCTCGGTGGCCCTGCCCCGCGG